GCAATCCCTTCTGGAACTCCATTCTCCTCTCGGGATCTTGGGCACGCACGCACACCTGAGTTTAAGCCACTGGGTCTGGGACTCGAACTGCGGTCAACTACATGGGAGTCCAGCGACATAGCCATTACACTAACTGCTGGTCCCTCAGTTCTGCATTTGAACCGTGCGAGGAACACAGCTGCGGGGAGCAGTCGTATGGTGTTCCTTGCTTTGTTTTACAGGTTAGAGGAGCATTTGCGGGATTACTAGAATGAATTCGATTTTCAATGAAAATGAAAAGGTTGAAGTGAGGGTTTTTTTACTTTCTGCCTCGGAGCACATTGTCCTCAGGCAGGGCAGCGTCATCGGTGGGCATGTTCCCTAAGGAGGGCCTCTTCCTCTCCTGTCCTGACCACGAGGCTGGGAGGAATTGCGGTTTGCAAATGCCCTCGGTTCTGGTGACCTTTGTCCACCCTGCCCCTTTCTTCCTTTGCCCCTCTTCCCAGTATCACATGGGGCCCTCCGAGGAGATGCCTTTAGGTGGAAAGTTGCTGCAAAACCACCCTAAGAATTCCCACGCGGGCTGGGCGGTGGTGGTCTGGAAGGCTGACCCACACAGGGAGGTTCCAGGTTTGTGCCTGGAGACCTTCCTGAGTACGCTGGGCCTGTGCCCATGAGCCAAGCTCGATGAGACCCTGTTGGGGCTGCTGCGTGTCTCTCTCACCCAGAAGGAATAAATACATGAACTTAAAAAAAAAATGTAAAAATACCATATGGAAGGTGCGTGATCCTGAGCGGGACCACCCTCTCTGAGATGGAGAAAGAGGTCCTATGACTCTGGAGGTGTCCTGAAGACAGGCTGGAACGGGTTGGCAGAGCTCTTCAGTAGCCGCTGAAATGAACAGACTGCATGTCAGGATTTCACCCAAGACTGTCAGAAGGATATCCAGGGGGTCGGAAAAGTCAAGCTGCATTTTTGCCTAGAATATAGAAAAACACGCCGTGACTTCTCCAACCACCTGATAGTTCGTTTCAGTCTTCTTGGGGTTTGGGGTGGTTCCCCCCGTGTGACTGTTTCATCAAGCAGTGTAGCATTTCCAAAATCCGCTATCTGTGTCGGAGACATCTCCACGGGTGTGGAGAATATACGCTCTTATTTTATTAGACACTATTTTGCTCCAACATTTAAGCAGTGAGTACAGTGGAGCCTCGTATTAGCTGCCAGGTTGCTGGAAGACCACCACGGTCATGGAGGTCCCAGGACGCGAACCCAGTACTCAGCCTTATCCTGTCTGGCATTTTGTCCAAAAGCCTCAGTGTGGGAGAAAGGCCGGGCCTCCTGTCCAGTTCTGTTCCTGCTATGCCACCACCTGGTCCCTTGCCATATTGGTTATTTTTGTGACAGCCTCTTAGAGTTTTCGTGTTCTAAAAACAAACAAACAAACAAAAGTACAATGATTTTTCTGGAAGCTGTGACTGTTTGCACTGGAGTAGCAACCTCTGCCCTCCTCATTCAGACGGTGTGGCCTTGTCTGTTCTGGGGCAGGCTCAGCTGCTGATAGGCTGCCTGATCTTAGACAAGCCGCCTGGTTCCCCTGGACGTCAACAAACTCATCTCTCAAAAGGCCTGATTTCCAAGTCCCTGGTCCCACCGGTTTCCTCCGTTTTTCTGTAGTTACGTGGGTGCATCTGGCGCTGCTCTCTCGCTCACTGCCTCGGCCTCCTCAGGACGAGCAGAGGGACTGGCTGTTGGAGAGGGGGCAGCTGCCGGGGAAGGAAAGTAACCAGCGTGGGTCTCGTCCCGACAGTCGGGCCTGCAAGACTTCCCATCCTACATCTTCTCCCACGTGTGGCTTTTATCTCTGGACACAGAGAACTGGCAAAGTGGGCTCTAAGCTGTGTCTGTATGAGGAAGGAACTTCTTGACATACCAGATTCTAATGGCACAAAATTACTTTTTATTCTTACTTTTTAAAGATTTACTTTTTATTTTATTTTATTATTATTATTATTTTTTTGGAGAGGTTTTTGCTATAGGGTGTGTGCACTCACCAGACAGACAGAGACAGAAAGCGAGAAATCACCCCCCCCGGGGGGGATGGCCACACTGCAATCCCTTCTCCTCCATTCTCCTCTCGGGATCTTGCGCACACACGCACACACGCCCGGCGTGAGTTTAAGCCACCAGGTCTGGGACTCAACGGCGGTCGACTACATGGGAGTCCAGCGATGTAGCCATTACATCACCTGTTGGTCCCACTTATTTAAAAATTTTATTTACTATCATTATTCTTCACTTTTGACCAGAGAGACAGAAACAGAAAGGAAGCGAAAGTGAGAAAGCAAACTCAGGTCTGGGACTTGCACCGTGGTCAGACATGTGGGAGTCCAGTGCCTCAGCCACCAAGCTACCTGCTGGCCCTGGCATTAAAATGATATAATGACCTTGTTTCTTAACTTTTTTTCAAAATGCTTTGTGATGTCGGGAACCAGCAGTTAGCATAATGGCTATGTCGCTGGACTCCCACGTAGTTGACCGCAGTTTGCGTCCCAGACCCGGTGGCTTAGAATTCACGCCAGACGCGTGTGCGTGCGTGCCCAAGATCCCGAGAGGAGAATGGAGGAGACCGGATTGCGGCGTGACCATCCCCCCTGGGGGTGATTTCTTGCTTTCTGTCTCTCTGTCTCTCTCTGTCTGTCGAGCATACGCACCCTATAGCGAAAACCTCTCCAAAAAAATAAAAGCTTTGTGATGTTAAATAGTCTTAAGACAATTTTTCTTTTTTATTTAGTTATTTAATTTTATTAATTATTATTATTATTTTAAATTTGCTATAGGGCACATGTGCTCACCAGAGAGAGAGAGAGAGAGAGAGAGAGAGAGAGAAAGTGAGAAAGCAAGCTGCTGGATCCGGGGCTTGAACTGTGGTCAGCCATATGGGAGTCTAGTGCTTCAACCACCATGTCACCTGTTTTCCCCGCCTTAAAACTATTAATAAGCAAGCAGTGGTGAAAGAAAACTTGTTAGCCACCTGGGTCAGTTTTATGTTAAGGGCACCCAACGTGTGAGAGAATTATGTGTGTCAGTTTTCAAACCGAGTAGTAGTTTTTCCTTAAGAAAAAGTTGTTGGGGCCAGGAGGTGTGGCATGGTGGTTAAGGCAGCTGGATTCCGACCTGGCCCTCTGTGGTTCAAGTCCCGGGCCTGATGGCTTGAAAATCGCACTAGATGTGTGTACGTGTGCGTGCGTACCCAGAATCCCAGGAAAGGAATGGAGGAGAAGGGATTCCTGCATGGCCATCGTCCCCTTAGGGGGGTGATTCTCACTTTTCTTTTCTCCGTCTTTCTCCTCTGTGAGTACATGTGCCCTATGGCAAAAACTTAAAAAAGAAAAAGTTGTCCTGTTACATGTAAACCATCATGGAAATGTATCGGTTTCAAGGACAGCATTCTGATTATTGTGAGGTGTTCCAACATGGAGAAAGTAACGTGGAACCACACAAAGCTAGGTCGGATTCCGAGATGGTGGTCTTTGGAAATCATATACGCTCTCCAGACCTGGTTTCCTTAACCGTAAAATGGGGATAATGGCACCCCTTCATCAGATCATCTGGAGGCTTCAGTGAAATGATGCAAAACGTAATGCTTACTACAGAGTGCAGTTTAAAGACGATGGCAGTGATATCAGCTTTGTTTGATGTTATTGATTAGAATTCCCATAAAACAGGGCCTGCAGGTGGCATGGTGGTTGAGGGCGCTGGACTCCCAAATGGACGACCATGGTTCGAGCCCTGGACCTGGCAGCTTGCTTTCTCACTCTTTCACTCTGTCCCTTTTGGTCAAATTAAAATGAATAAATAAATAAAGTTGAATAAAGTAATTATTAAAAAAAAAGAATTTCCGTAAAACCTTGGAAGTCAGAAGTGGGTGGTCAGTTGAGAACATGAAGGGAATACAGAGGAAAGAGGTTAACTCCGCCATAACTTTTACCTGGTATTTTGATATGCCTTTTTTTTCTCTTCATAGGAATGAATCCTTCTAAAACCAAACTTGAACTGCAAAAGCACCTGACCACACTAACCAACCAGGAGCAAGCCACGATTTTCGAGGAGGTTCAGGTATAGTACAAGCTCTCGTGTGCAGGAGGAAGGACAGAGAGCGTCTTCCTGTGAAATGCCGTGTGTACCAAACAGCGGATGTGTCCAGCCCGGTGCTGGCACGGCCTTAGGACAGGACCTGCAGCTCCTCCTCCTCTTAGCTTTTCACCGTCCTTAGAGAGGCCAGGTCAGAACTGCACCCTCAATATCAGGGCTTGGCTTTTAGGGTAAAGTGACCAAAACAGAGAAACCTCTCCTATAGCAAAAAATATATTAGAATAAGAGAAAGGACATTGCAAAGGGGCCAGAGCCTCAGCCCAGGAGGCAGAAGACTTGAACTTTGGTCGGCCACACTCAGTCTGCTCCCTGGGAACCGTGGCCAGGCTGTCCCCACTCAAGATCTCATCCCGACAGGACGGGAGTCGGACAGGACGGTGTTTGGTGCCTGAACTTGGACGTCATCGTCCTGTTACTTCTCAGTTTTGAAAATAAATTGAGGGGAGGTTTTCTGCATAGAGCCACATAATCTATCCAACCTAAAAAATAAAAAAGTCAGAACAGGACAGAATACCCTGGCCTTCTGTGTCAGCTCTGAAGACCAGCTCTCGTCCCTGCAGTTAGCTGCGAGGTATCTCGGGGAGACCATGCCGCCTCTGCTGGCTTGCCTGTGACCCTGTAACCTTTCCTGATCAATTGCTAATGAGCTCATCGAAAATTCCATGCCTGCTTTAGCTCAGGGGCATGGTGTCCTGCACTTTTCTAGGGCAGAGAGGCCATCGGTACAAAATAGAAGTCTCTTTTTGGGGTGCATGGGGCAACCCGCAGCTGCTACAAATAGAGTCACTAAATAAGTTCACCAACTGGAGGATCATAAATTCTTCCTCCTCACTGGGCAAGGACCATGTGGATATGGTCCATGACTTGGCACTTTCGGAACAAAAAAATGAAAGGACTAGCTTTTTTTTTTTTTTTTTTGAGAGGTTTTTGCTATAGGGTGTGTGTACTCGCCGGAAAGGCAGAGAGAGACATAGAGACAGAAAGCGAGAAATCATCCCCAGAAAGGATGGCCACGCCGCAATCCCTTCTCCTCCATTCTCCTCTCGGAATCTTGAGCACGCACACACACACACACCTGGTGTGAGTTTTAAGCCACCGGGTCCGGGACGTGAACTGCATTCGACTATGTGGGACTCCAGCAACATAGCCATTACGCTAACTGCTGGTCCCGGGAGCCTCTTTCTCACAAGCATGGAAGATGTGCCTTCCTTCCCTAATAGGGATTTTCATTTTTTTCCTCTCATTTTAGTTTGCTATACAGTATGTGTACTCAGAGAGAGAGAGAAAGGAAAAGCAAGAAACCACCCCCTAGGGGAATGGCCATGCTACAGTCCCTTCTCCATTCTCTTCTTGGGATTTTGGGCATGCATGCACATGTACCTGGTGTGTTTTTCAAGCCACCAGTTCGGACTTGAACCACACAGTTGGCCATATGGGATCAAGCTGTATTAACCTCCATGCCACCTGCTGGCCCCTCCTCCTCCTCCTTCTTCTTTAATAATTGCTTTGTTTAACTTTATTTATTATTATTGTTAGTTTTCAGTTTGATCGGAGAGAGAAAGAGAGAGAGAGAGAAAGTGAGAGATCAAACTGCTAGGTCTGAGACTCGAACTGTGGACATCTATGTGGGAGTCCAGCGCCTTTAACCACCAAGCCACCGGCCAGCCTCCCTAGCTCCTTATTTTTTATTTAGACAGCACCATGTAGGTTTTTCTAAAACAGAGAAATGAGTCACGATAGGCGATGCATAGGAAGTCTTCTGCTGCTGTGAGAAGTTCCTCGTGGATGTGGTTCCGAGACTCCCCCTGCCCCAAGCACGCAGTGACTGTCCTGGGCTCCTGTGAACGTCTAAATCTCTGCAACCTGTTGGTTGCCCTGATCACCAAAAAAGGACTCTTGCTCTTTTTTGAAACATTTATTTATTCATTTCTTCCACGAGAGAGAGAGTGAGAATAATGAGGGGTCAGGCATCCCCAGCAGGGTCTTCATGCCATGATCCCATCCCCACAGCCATCCAGATTCCAGGTGTGCACGTGGGCCCTGCAGGTACAGATGTGCTCTGGGAGCTGAACCAGGGACCTTCCTGTTTGGGTTCACAGGAGGAGAAGGAACGGGGTCAGCTCTTAGACCTGCATCTGCTCGGAGACCTCTAGTTTCTGTCTCTTTCTCTTTTCTGGAACTTTTGTTTTGGCTCCATAGCTTTGCCTTTTCCAGCATGTCATATAGTTGAAATCTTACAGCATTGTAACTTTTTTTTTTTTTTTTAATGGAGAGAATTTTGCTTTAGGGCGCGTGCACTCGCTAGACAGACAGAGACAGAGAGACAGAAAGCAAGAAATCACCCCCCAGGAGGGATGGCCATGCCGCAATCCCTTCTCCTCCATTCTCCTCTTGGGATCCTGGACATGCACACACACACCCAGTATGAGTTTAAGCCACTGGGTCCAGAGCTCTAACTGTGGTCGACTACATAGTTCAGCGACATAGCCATTACGCTAACTGCTGGTCCCCACCATTGTAACCTTTTCAAATTGGCTTCTTTCATTTACCAATAAGTACCTAAGGTTTCCTCTCTGTCTGTTCATGGCTCGAGTATGCATTTCTTTCTATTGCTGAATAATATTCAACTTGATAGAATTTCCACAGTTTGTTTACCCAGTCACCTACTGAAAGACATCTTGGTTACTTTCAAGTTTGGGCAATTAGGAATAAAACTGCCATAAACAGTTGTATGTAGGTTTTTGTTGTGGGCGTAAGTTTTTAACTCATTTGGGTAAACACCAAGGAGTGTGATTACTGGTCGTGTGGTAAGAGTATGTTTGTTTAGTTTACAAGAAATCGCCAGACTGTCTTCCAAGTGGCTGGATCGTTTCGTAACTCCCACCAGCGATGAGAACATTCCTGTTCTTGCATCGAATTTTAGACTTAGCGTGTTCATGACCTTTTCTGGATCTAGCTGTGTAGAGTTGGGGTTAGAGCACTTAACCACCATTTTCCTTTTGTGAGGATCTCACAGAAACGGTCTAGAAAAATCTGCGTGTTGCATTTAATACATAACATTATGTAGCATCAAGATTCATAGCCTAAAGTTCAGGTGCTCCAGCATCTAAAACATTTAATACTTAAATCTGCAACTTGAAAGAATAGGAGATCCTCAATAAAAATAGACCTTTCGGGGTCTGCAGGTGGCATGGTGGTTAAGGGCATTGGACTCCCACGTGGTTGACCGCGGTTCTAGTCCCAGAGCTGGTGGCTTGCTTTTTCATTTTGTCTCTCTCTGTCTCTCTGTCCCTCTCTGGTCAAATTAAAAGAAATAAATAAAGTTAAATAATTCTTTAAAAAAATGAAACAAATCGGTCTAGTCATTTACCAACTTTTCCTCAACTCACAGGAACAGCCTACCCATCAAAATGAGCGTTTCCTTTAAGAGAGGGGATTCCAGAAGTTCTGGGTTCCTGTCACCTTTGCTTGTAATGCCTTTAACATTTGGGGCTAAGTCACGGCTCCTTGGTTAGTTGGGGAGGAAGGTTGCCAGTTGATCTAGACTCAGATATGTTATCATTGATTGACTTATCACATCTTGACTTTTTTTTTTTTTTAATATTCTTGCCATAGGGAGTATGCCCTTATAGGAGAGACAGTGAGAGAGAAAGTGAGAAATCACCCCCACAGAGTTGAATGGCCATGCTGCAGTCCCGTCTCCTCCATTCTCCTCCTGGGATTTTGGGCACATAGACACACACATCTGGTATGAGTTTCCAGCCTCCGGGTCTGGGACTTGAACTGTGGTCAGCCATGTGGGATCCAGCAGCCTCAATCACCACACCACTGGCTGGCTCTTTTCCTTCTGTTTTAAAAACTACTTGTTTCTTAAATAACTGGACTATGCCTCTGTCTGATGTTAAAAATGTATTTTAGGGGCTGGGCCCATAGCTTTTAGAAGTTTATGGAATGCAGGACCAGCAGTTGGTGTAATGGCGATGTTGCTGGACTCCCATGTAGTCGACTGTGGTTCGAGTCCCAGACCCGGTGACTTAAACTCACACCAGGCACGTGTGCGTGCGCGCCCAAGATCCCGAGAGGAGAATGGAGGAGAAGGGATTGCAGCGTGGCCATTCCCACTCGGGGGGTGATTTCTCACTTTCTGTCTCTCTGTCTCTCTCTGTCTTTCTGGCGAGCACTCGCACCCTATAGCAAAAACCTCTCCAAAAGAAAAAGAAGTTTATGGAATGGGATCCTGTATGCCCAGTGGTGGTTCAAATCCTGGCCCCGGAACTTGAAGGCACCCTGGGTGCATATACGTGCCCGGAAGTTTGAGAGGATGGAGACATTGAGTGGAAGGGATTGTGATATGCTCATGCTCCGTTGGGGGGCATTCTCATTCTCTCTTTCTCTGATGAACTCACATGCCCTCTGACAAGTAATTAAAAGAAACAAAAGACAATTATTTGAGGTATGAAGGCATAAGATGGAAAGTTAAGTCTAGCCCATTCATTGACGGTTAAAACTTATCTCCACCTTGAGGACCTTTGGTGCCCCCTAGTGGCGTGGCTAGGTAGAAGCACTCTTGGTAGATGGGAACTTGGCATTTCTGGAAAGGGGGAGTTTAGTGATTATGTTGACCTTTAACCACTGACATCATATATCCTCTTTCTGATTTCTTTTTGAAAAAAAGAAACTGAGACCCAGAAATGAGCAGCGAGAGAATGAGTTGATTATTTCTTTTCTGAGATGTTTATATGAAGAGAAGCAGAAAGAACACGTCCACGTTGGGGAGATGAAACAGGTATGGCATTTTTGTCTTCTACCGTGGACACAAAGTCTTGAGAATGTGCCGGAGCTCTGAACCCTTTTCTCCCTGTGTTTTCTTTTTATTTGTTGCACACGTAGAGAGATTTCAAGATTAGGTTTCTGTGTCATGGAGGGGGTGGGGCTGTTGCTCTGACAAGGGGCTTGACGTAGGGCACCAGGAATCGGGTTCACGCTGCCAGGACAGCTAGCTGCAGGACCTGCCGAGAGCAGCCACTGTCACCCCGTTCATCCCTCATAAAATGGGAACGACATTACGTTTGCATTCAGCGTTACATCAAGTACCTAAAAGTTCTCAATAACATTGATGCTGGGACTAGCAGATGGTGTAACAGTTACGTCGCTGGACTCCCACGCAGTCAACCCTAGTTCGAGTCCTGGACCTGGCGTCTTAAAACTCACGCTGGACACGTGTGCGTGCATGCCCAAGATCCCGAGAGGAGAATGGAGGAGAGGGGATCACAGCACGGCTATCCTTTCTGCGATTGGCTTTCTGTCCCTCCAGCACCCTATAGTAAAAATCTCTCTTAAACAAACAAACAAAAAAATACAGATGCCACATGAATGTCGGCCGTGCCACTAACAAAGCAGATACGCGTCGGGCAGTACGTCGGGCAGTGTGGTTTATGTGCGTTCACATTGGGACTTTCATTCCTCCTGTTTTATGTAAGAGGGAGGACAGCGTCTCCCTCCCGCCCTCCACTGTCCATAGCTGTATTTAGATTTTCTGGTTGTGGGGTGCCGTGTCAGAAGCTGGGCTACTTGCACAGCTCTGCCTCTGAGGAACTTCTTGTCCCGGGTTGGGTTTACTTGGTGCTAGAGACCATTTTTCTGTGTCTTCGACTCCATGTAAGTCGGTTCCTACTAAGGCATTTCTGTCAGTAACTTCAAACTACATACATTTTGTTTCCTCGGCCAGGAAATACAGAGGAAATTGAGTGAAAGGCATTCGGTTTCCTTAGTCTTCCAAAGCGCACTGTCCTTCTTTTTGCAAACCCTTCCTGAATGCTTGTCCCAGGGCACCTCACTGCTCCCTGGCATGCGCGCCCCCTCGCCCCGCTGCCCTGGCAGGGCCTTCGTCATCTGGTATCCCGAGTGTGCGGTTCTGCTCGGGGGCACACTCACCAGCTCTCTTTCCTGAACTCAGAGCGCCCAGGTACGGTGTCCACCATGGTGTTCTTCATCTCACCAGCTGACCCCAGGGTGTCCTCACAGTGACCCTAATGCAGTGTGGTACCATGATTCAGGCTCCTGCTTCCTCTTCCTCCCTTCCCAGGTGTAGCCTGCAGGCTGTCTGGGTTCTGTGCCCTCCTGCTCACCTGGTAGGCCGCCCACTCTGAGGTTTCAGTTAATCCCACAGTCCCCCTCTCAGCCTCTTTCTTGCCCCTGTTCTACTTCTTTTCTCCCTCTTTTGGTGCCACTAATAGTATTTTTCTCTTAACGTTTTTTTCCCTGAGTCTGACTTGTTCGATCATTTCATAGTCACGGAGAACTTCTAGAAAAGGGAAGCATTTATGGCGCATGGAAAATTTTAACCTAAGCACTCACTCTGTTTTTATGGACCTGAGTAATACCTTTATGATTTGGGCATAGAGTCGTTCAATGGATAAATGCATTAAGAATGTGGTTTTTTCCTCCTGTTTTAAAAACACCAAGAATTTGATGTAAGAGACTGAACTTCTCAGGCACAACTGGCGTCCTGACGGTACTTTCGCTAGGGGATTCTAAACGTTCTGTGACCCAGAAGCCTCCTGCCTGCGTCTGTAAGGGAGTTGACCTGATCTCTAGATGCACTCGGCGTCCCCCGCCTGGACACCCTGATGGGCTCTGAGGAGCAGGGTTTTCGGAGCAGCAGCTACTTAGTCAATTAATCTGATGTCGCTTTGGAACGCACCAGTATTTTCCTGCTTGCATTTTCTTTTTTTTTTTTTTTTTTTAAAAAATTCTTTTACCTGATTTTTAAAATTTATTTATTTATTTATTTATTTATATTTGACCAGTGAGGTACAGGGTGAGAGAGAGAAAGAGAGGGTGAGGAAGAAAGCAAGCCACCAGGTCCGGGACTTGAACTATGGTCGGCCATGTGGGAATCCAGTGCCCTTAACCACCACGCCACCTACTGGCCCCCTGCTTGCAGTTTCTATGGTCTGAGACTTTCACCACGTGGATTTCTTTACCTTGTTGTTGGACCTTAACATTCCCATGGCCTTTGGAAGTGTGTTAGGGCCTAGAGGTAGGCAGAGGTGAGACCGTGGCTTTGACAAAGAACTTCTCTGGCCACCGGCCTTCAAAGGAGGCCAGTGGGCACTGAACACTCATCCCAGTACTGAGCTTCTGTCAGTTCGAAGACTAAAGGACAGTGGTGGGGAGCTGTCAGGGGAATAATTTTCTATAAATTAGAAAAATACTGAGTGGATCCTTCCTTATTTATTTATTTTAATTTGACCAGAGAGGGACCAAGTGAGAGAGAGAAAGAGAAAGAGAAAACAGCCACCAGGACCAGGACTTTTTTTTTTTTTTTCCCCAGGTCCAGGACTTGAACTGTGAGTCAGCCATGTGGGAGTCCAATGCCCTTAACCACCACGCCACCTGCTGGCCTCTATATGTCACTTCTTTTAATCTCACAACCCAGTGTTGTGATTAGATCTCATTGATCTCAAGTGACTGAAAAGGAAATTAAGGCAAAAGGAAATCAAGGCTCGGATGAAGTAAGACACCCGTGTTCATGAACGGCCACTCTCTGACCCGGGGCAGAGCCTGATTTCCGCACTGCCTTTACTGATTCATTTCAAAGCACATTTTCTGATTTCGTTTGGGAGAGTAAAAGCAACTGTGGAAGACAGAGCTGTTTCCTGGACTTGCCGCTAAGTCACAGCTGAGATGAGAACACAGAGTCAGCACGAAGGCCCAGTGTCTTAAAAAATGATAATTGATGTATCTTCTCATTGTTTCATTTTTTTCTAGGCATCGCAGATTGCACCAGAGAATATTGGAAGTGAATTGGCACCCAGTGCCACGCGATTTCGGCTAGATATGTTGAAAAACAAAGCAAAGCGATCTTTAACAGAGTCTTTAGAAAGTATTTTGTCTCGGGTAAGTAGTATAATTTCTCCTGATTTAAGTTAAATTGTTTTTATTTTTTATTTTGGAGAGCCTAAGATCCTTTTCTGTTTTTATTTCCATGTTCATTGTAAAGTTTAAAGGTCATCAAAATCATCTTTGCTTCTTTTTGGTCTTAGAACAATATTATGTACATTAAAATTATTTTTAACTTGGTCTAGGGTTCTTTTTTTTAAAAAAAAAAAAAACTCTACTTTCTTGTATTATATCTCATGAAACTGTTATCTGTTGACCAGTTCCCCTAACGAGCAGAAATTAGAGACACCGAACAACAGCAGGTAACACTCACTGGCATTTTGAGTCCCTGGTGACACCGGGAGACAAGAACACACTCCCAGGTCTGGGACTCGAACCCCGGTGGGCCATGGGGGAGTCCAGTGCCCTTACCCGCCATGCCACCTGCCGGCGTTTGAGTCCCAGACCTGGCAGCTTACTTTCTCTCTCACTCTGTCCCTCTCTGGTCAAATTTAAATAAATAAATAAATAAATAAATAAATTTAAATTAGCTAATTCTGTACAAAAAGAAATACCACGTCCCATCAGTAGCCCTGGTGGACTTCTAAGAAATCAGAATTAACTTTTTGCTTTTTGCCGAGGTCTCACACCTTTCTGGAACTCCTAGTATCTTCCTATGGCTCTTTCTGATTTTATGACACTCTGGCTTTGAAACATGTGCTTTTTAAAAATTTTTTTAAGTTATATTTTCTTTGTTGGAAGATGTTTCTGAGGAGTTTGCAGCATGCTCTGCAAACTCCTCAGAAACATCAAAGGTACCGAGCTGGTTTTGCAAGGGTCTGCATTTGAGAGCTTCCAGAAGGCTTGCACATGGTTCGAGGGACACAGAGCTGGCTGGTTTCGGCGCCTCGTGATGCAGGAGAGAGCTGCGGTGTCGCTAGCTTAAGCACGAGCTTTTCTTCCTAACAGATTGTCGCTTCTTCCTGCCTGCTACCCCTGCCAAATGACCCGAGGTGTTTTGGAACATTTAGATTGGTGTCTTATATATATTTTTTAAAAGAATAAAGCAAAACAAGGACAGAAATGTCAACTGTCGTAATGCACACGCAGCGTTTCTCAGTCCGTTCCTTTTTTCCTGAGCTGCTTTAAATGAATCAAGGTGCTGATGCCTTTGCAAAAGCCTCAAGGTCATAACTCAACTGCTTTTTGTTTCTGTAGGGTAATAAGGCCCGAGGGCTGCAGGAACCTTCTGCCAGCGTGGATCTGGACAGCTCTGCGTCTAGTACTTTAAGTAACACCAGCAAAGTAAGCACATTTCTCTTTGCAGAGGCTAACAGATAGCTCCCGCTGATCTTCTGCCTGCAGGACCTTCTCAGAAAGAATAAGAAGAAGCCTCATACCTCCACACATAAAAAGTGCAATGCTTCCAGAATTCTTGCTGTAGGCAGAGGGCTTCTCGTACAGTTCTTCTGCAGCGCGAACGTCTGACGTGAAGAGGGGGGACCATTCAACAAGGAAAGGGGATCCCAATTCTAGACGACCCAAGCCTCCTTTATTACGATGCACAAGTTTCTTTCCCAAGTAGATTTTCTAGTAATAAAAGTAATTAAATTCAGGGAAAAAAATCTCAAAAATGGGACTGTGTAATCAGAAAAGTAGGCAGCTTAAATTTCGGAAACTATCCGCTAGCTGGCGCTATGATCCTCATGAAACATGACTTTCTTTTTTTTTTAAATAAGCAATTTACCTTCACCCTATGGCACCATGCATAGCTTTGTGATAATGAATTGGCTATCAATTCTCTTTGGTAATAAATCTGTGGCTAGGTTTTTGTTTTAACGTCACTTTCCAGATGCTTAAGCATATTTAAACCTGGTTAGTTTGACTTGATAACTACCAAGAAGTGGGTTTGGGGTCTCGTTCTGAGAGGCCCGCTTTCCCTTCTGCCGTCGGAGCACGCTCTGATGTAAGCAAGAGAGAATTTTTGTGGTGGCCAGCTCCTTACCACAGGCATGTTTCAATCCTTCTGCGGTCTCTCCTAGACGTGTAGCTTTTCAAAGCGTTTAGTCCATAAACGACAGTCAGAAGCACAGTTGTGACCTAGTTCACAAACTCACACGTGTTCGGACACTCCAGTAAAAGCTTACAAAACCGTTTACTGTGAACAAAATGCCAGACCTGCAAGTATTTTCTGTTTTATTTAAAAATGCTGATGGCGGGACCAGCAGTTGGCGTAATGGCTATGTCACTGGACTCTCAGGGAGTCGACTGCAGTTCGAGTCCTGGACCCGGTGGCTTAAACTCACTCCAGGCGTGTGTGCGTGCGTGCCCAAGATCCTGAGAGGAGAATGGAGGAGAAGGGATTGCAGTGTGGCCATCCCCCGCTGGGGGGTGATTTCTCGTTTTCTGTCTCTCTTTCTGGCGAGTGCATGTGCCCTATAGCAAAAACATCTCCAAAAAAAAAAAAAAATGTATCGACCAACCCAGTCCTACGCTCAGTAAGCATTAGACTGTGCGAGTGGGAGTAGTTCATTCCTTTGAAAGAGCATGGGTCCTGAAAGCACTCAACCATAAAGTACTGTCAGTGCCCAGCCAGCAAATTCGTCGGGGACCTAATAAAATAACAAGTAATATCTATATAGTATTTTGCAGTGTACTTACTACTCTTGGTTGTGTTATCTTGCTTAATTCTTAGACCCCGGTGGGATACATTTTTACTAAACCGTTTTACAGATGAGGGAATCGAAGTGCAGGAAGAAGTTAGGATTTGCCTTGAATCATGTAATAAGTACTTGAAGAAAGATTTGTCTAACTCTAAGAAGAATAAAAGGTATCTTATTAAAAAATAAGTAGTTATTGGGTCGTTGAAAAGGTCACAGTGCATTTTTGTATAGAAAAATGTAGAGAAATCTGTCATGACTTTCCCAATGACCTAATATTTAATCTTATTTATTATTATTATTTTTTAATTTGCTATAGGGCACATGAGCTCACCAGAGAGAGGGAGAAAGAGAGAAAGAGAGAGATTGGGGAAGAAAGTGAGGAAGCAAGCTGCCAGGTCCAGAACTCGAACTGCAGTCAGCCATGTGGTATCCAGTGCCTTAACTACCATGCCATCTGCTGGCCCCAAGGGTATTGGGTTGTTTTTTGTTTTCTTTCTTTTTTGGAGAGGTTTTTGCTATAGGGCGTGTGTGCTCACCAGAAAGATGGAGACAGAGAGACAGAAAGCAAAAAAATCACCTCCCAGGGGGATGGCCACGCTGCAATCCCTTCTTCATTTTCCTCTTGGGATCTTGGGCATGCACGCACATGTACCTGGCATGAGTCTAAGCCACTGGGTCCAAGACTCAAACTGCAGTTGACTACATGGGAGCCCAGAGACATAGCCGTTAACGCCAACTGCCGGCCCCAAGGGTATCGTTTTTAACCTCAGTATTATAAAGTTAAATCTTGATATTAGATCAGGTTCAGAAAGGGCCTTAAAATGTGGGTTTAACGAGTGAACACACTGGGCAGAGCCGAAGAGCTCAGTCTGACCCAGTGGTGGAGCCAAGTTACACAGCATTCATGATACTTTCCTAGGCTGTAGTGAAGAGTTCTTTTTCCTCGAGGGAGCTGTGTAAGGCTTTGCTACAGAGTATTCTATGGCTTACATCCTTCACCCTTGCATTTGGGCAGTTTCCCCGTTTCCCCAGCAAACAAGCCTCTGGTCTGACCACCAGGTCTTTCCTACACCTTTGTTTTATCTCTGGTGGCCGCTAGGGGACATCCTCAGCAGATGTGCTCCCGTACTAAACCTTTGTCCTGCTTAGAGAAATGACGAACCCACAAACCCTCCTGAGCTGTGTCTGATCTGCCGTCTGTCTGGTCCCAGGAGCCATCCGTGTGTGAAAAGGAGGCCCTGTCCGTCTCGGAGAGCTCCTTCAAGCTCCTTGGCTCCTCAGATGACCTGTCCAGTGACGTGGAGGGCCAATCAGCAGAGCCGGCTCCACTTTCGCCCCAGCAGGCCTTCAGGAGGCGAGCGAACACCCTGAGTCACCTCCCTCTGGATTGCCAGCAACCTCCGGAACCTGCCCAGGGGTCTCCAGGGGTCTCTCAACGGAAGCTTATGAGGTATCACTCAGTGAGCACAGAGACGCCTCATGAACGAAAGTAAGATTCGTTTAAGACATAGATTTGTTGTGTGAATAGCTGGGGGCATATCTGACTACCAGGTATGTGCGTCCCAGGTACCTTTACTGGGTAGACGAGAAGGTCAAGCCGGGTTTCCCTGTTGACTTAAGACACAGCTTGAAGCAGTGACACGTCCCAGCTCCCTTCATAAACATGTAGAATAGGACACACTTGTTACTGTGTAAGTAAGAAGTGTCATCCAGAAGCAGGTAAGTGTGAGCAGAATGGTGCCACCGCACGCAACAATTACTCCTCCAGCAGTCCGAGACACTGCTGACTTCGGAACTGGGCTCTGGGCTTTGAGGAGCGCTAGGGAGTGGGCAAGCAGATGAATCCTCACCTGGAAAGAGCTGCAGTGGGACGGTGTGATCCCCACAGGCAGAGCAGGAGAGGCGTGTTGGGTCTCACAGGAACGTGGGTGTCACAGTGGACTGAGGAGCCCTGGGTTCTGGGCCTAGCTTTGTTGTAGACTAGTTTGACCTGGGCAAATTTGTGGAACTTCTCCATATGACAAAATTGGAAGAGGCATTTTCTAAAATCTCTTTTTACCTTGAGAATTCTATATTATTCTAGCAGGATTTACTATTTTTTTTTTTTTAAGAATTACTTTATTTAACTTTTATTTATTGATTTTTATTTGACCAGAGAGGAACAGAGTGAGAGAAAGAGCGAGAAAGAGGGAAAGTGAGAAAGCAAGCCACCAGGTTCAGGACTCGAACCACAGTCGGCCGTGTGGGAGCCCACCGCCCTTGACCACTATGCCACTTGCTGGCTCCATATTTACAGTTTTAATAATTGGGCTCAAATGAATAGTGGGAATTTTCTGGTTATAAAAAGGGATGAACACTACATACAGACTTCAAAAAGTTCGTAGAAAATAGAATTAAAGTCCATGTTTATTTTGGTGCAAATTAATTTTGAAATATATGCATATTTTTCCATAAGACACATTTTCCATGGACTTTATGAAGACTCTGATTATGAGAAGGCAATTAATTTTACTCTAGGTGCCAGAGACTATAAATGGACACAGAATTATCTTTAAAAATGAACTTTACAGAGGACCAGCAGGTGGCATAGTGGTTAAAGAGCTAGAGTCCCACATGGCTAACCACGGTTCAAATCCTGGACCTGGATGCTTAAAATCACACTGGGCATGTTTGTGTGCATGCCCATAGTCCCAGGAGGAGGATGGAGGAGAAGGGATTACAGCATGGCCATCTCCTCTGGGGAGGTAATTTCTCACTTTCTCTCTCACCGTCTTTCTCTCTATCTCTCTCTGGCTAGTGCACGTGCCCTATGGCAAAACCCAAAAACTGAATAAACGAAAGAAAAAGCTTTAGAAGTCTTATAATCCCTTGGGGCCAGCAGATGGCTTAATGGTTACATCACTGGACTCCCACATGGCTGACTATGGTTTGAGTCCTGGACCCAGAGCCTTGAAACTTATGCCAGTTGTTTGCGTGTGAGTGTCCAAAATCCTGAGAGGAGACTGGAATAGAGGGGATTGTGGCGTTGCCATCCTCCCACGCGGTGATTTCTCGCTTTCTGTCTCTCACCCTCCTTGGCAAATGCACACACCCTGTAACAAAAATCTCTTTAAAAAAATTTTTAAAAAAAGAAGTCTTGTAATCCCTTACCTTTTAAATATGAGGGCCACACCTCTGTACAGTTCCTTCCCTGCTCTGATTGGCAACCACAGAAGCCACCGGGCGTCTGTGTCGTGCGGTTGATACATGGACGATGGGGACTCTGCACACAGGCGTGACTCTGCCGCGGCGTTCGAGATGTCTCGATGGAAGAAGTAACAATCCTGCAGAATGTCGTAAAGCCCCTCAGCTTCCTTTTCATTCAGCCATTGACAATAGTTGTTGGTTCTTTGGAATTCAGCTGGATAACTCTGATCACAGAAGCAGGACCTACTTCAGAAGCTAACACTTAATAAACGCGACATTTTAGAGACAAGCATAGCTTGGCTGTAACTGTGTAAGTTTCTTAAGACTCTGTCTACACGCTGCTGTTGTTCCGCCTAACCGCTGCAAGCCTAGCCCTCTCTTTCCAGCACTTTTGGTGATAATGGAAGCAGTTGTGTCCAGAATCCTAGTTTTCTTGCTAAGCCTGCTGTTTCATGCATGCCAGATGTGGTGTTGGTGCCTTTCCTTTCTCCCCTAAGAAAGCAATTTTGTAAAGAGTCATGTCAGACATGAGTGACAAGAGGGATAGGGACGTGTCTGTCTGTCTGTCTCTTTATAGCACGCCCCTCTTGGCTTTCTTCCCTTCTTGTAAAGTCTTTTCTTGTTTATCTATAGGAAGCAAGACATTGACATTCCTGGCAGGATATTGTTCATTTGAAAGGAAATTGTATTTTTTAAATTGATTTTTTTTTTTTTTTGCTTATGTTTTAATTTAATTTTTACATTTTTTTCCCCCTGTCAGTTCCCAAAACAGGAATAGAAATAAAAGTATTATTGGGAACATAGGCAAGTGGGAAATAATCAGTCATCGCCTATGACACATTCTGGTTTTTCCTGAAAATTCCCTTTGGCGGCGAGAGAGCAGAGATGAGGAGGAGGGATGGAAAGAAGTGCTCTCGCTGTGACTTCAAAAGGAAATAACGAGGCCCAGACACCTGCTCCTTTCCCTCTGGTTTCTCCATGCTTCCCCGTCAGTCTCCCTTCCCCCTCTAATCCCCCCATGCTTTCTCTAATTGTCATTTAGCGTGGACCAGCCACCCGTGGGCGTGGGCGAGGCTAAGAGTGGCTCAGGTCAGTCTTCAGCTCCTGCTACTCCACCTCGTCTTAACCCCTCCGCCTCCTCGCCCAACTTTTTTAAGTACCTAAAACATAATTCCAGTGGGGAACAGAGCGGAAATACTGTGCCGAAGAGGTGAGCGCACCCGCATGCCACGTTCAGTGTTGTTCGTCTTCCCGGGGAGCTCACACTGCAGGGAGCATGTGCTAAATGGGAGGAGAGGCCAGCAGGAAGCCGGGGCCACCGCTTGAGTGTGTGTCTTTGTGTTGGCGTACGGTTATTTTCGGTTGTATTATTTCCAATCTGTCATCTGTCATTCGAACCATCCTAATTTTTTTTTACTGTTGATGAATTTTCTTAAAAAGTATCATAGAAACAGGTTTTGATGGCAAACTTTTATGTTTATATATTTGCATACTCATAGACACAGATGCATATTTATTTATTTTCACCTACTACTGCCTTCGTGTGTATACACACACAGCTTAACAAGTGTTCAATCACGTACACTGCAGTGATGTGAAAAATGAAACTTCCTGATTAATTTAGAATTTTTTTTTTTTTTTTTTTGCGTTTTGAAAG